AAAAGGTCCAAAGATGAAGGAGTGAAGGGAGGGGAAGGGGAAAGGAAAAGAGGGAAAGGAAAAACTATAAGAAAAGAAAAAAAAAATGGAAATGAAATCCATGTAAATAGGGAAGGGCGGAGGGGGTGAAGGGCGCACAGGTAATGGGGAAAAATAAGAACTAAGATACATCACTTACAGGTACAAGCACCCAATGATAAACATAAATGAACTGTATACCTAAAATGTACCAATAAAAATACTAATAAATAAATAAATTAAATAAAAAATAAAAATAATGCTGTAATCCCAGCACTTAGATTGGTGAGACAGGAGGATCGCCATGAGTTCGAGGCCAGCCTGGACTACACAGTGAGTTGAAGACCAGCCTGAACTACATAGCAAGACCCTGTCTCATAAAAAAGTTTTTAAAAATAATCAAAAAGGGCTTAGGATGTAGCTCAGTGTGAAAGTCTTAGGTTAAACCCCAGTACTAAAAAAAAAATCTGTTCAGTGGTAAGACAGCAGAGTGGAGCACGAAGAATGGTCTACCCTGTCCACATGGGAAGGTCAGCAACATCTTTAAACTCTCATCAAGGACAAAGACAGAACCACCAGACAGGTAGGAAAGTGGAAAACACACACTGCTCCACAGAACAGAGCAGATGCAGCCAAGAATCTCAGTTGGATCTAATCACTGTGACAGCAATCGACTTGTTTCCGGACAGTCCTCACTTCAGTGATGTCATCTGTACCCATTCGGTGGATTCACAGTAAGGCTTCACTTTGATCACATTAGCTAAAAGCCATAGCCATAGCTGGTCTTAAATTATCCATCATTTACTGCTTCCTATAATAGGCCTCTTGAAAATGACACACTCAACACACACTGTCTAATTCTGTAATTCTACAACATGGCAGGGAAAGCAACCCAATGAGAATCTAGTTGCAGGCTATCTGTAAATCTCAATCACTAAATCAAAGAGTCAAATAGATAAATACAGCTAGAAAGTTCAACTCTTACTTATACAAATCTTAGAAATCAGGAATGCAAAATTGCATTATAATGATCTAAGGTCTATTAAAAGGGAGTGGGGGACTCGCCAAGACAAGCCACTCATTAGTACCTGTCTGAATGAGCCACTCGGCCAGCAGGTTCACAGTCTGGGCCACAGCAGTGTAGTTCTCAGATAAGAGCTGGATGACATTCTCCGGAGATCCCCCTGCCTGAAAATACCTGGGGAAAGCCAAAGAGCAGCTATCACACTAGCTTGGGCAGAGGTAAGCCAGGACGGAGAAGAAGGTAAGGAGGGAGGTGGCAGGCTTTAGGGTTTTAGATGAGGAGGAAACCCTAGAAGCCCTCCCTCTCAGGAAGGTTATTTTCTGGGTCTTTTTACAAAATTCTCTCAACTATTCCCTCCCCTCAAGCACAAACACTGCCCTCTCCTACCTCTTCAAAGTGTTGAAGATGGAGGGCTCCATGATATAATCCCGGGTGGAAAACTTATGCAGGCATTCCTGTTGCACCTCTGCATCGTCTTCTCCTTCTCCAGAATCATCTTCCTGCTGCTGGGGAAGGCCAGAAGCCAGGGAAAATAAATATCCTGCAATCTTACCTTAAATCCATACAATACTGTCCATTTTGAAAATGTTCCCCATACAATTTTTTTTTTTTTTTTGAGACAGGGTCTCACTGTATAGTCCAGGCTGCCTTTGACTTCACTATGTAGCCCAGGCTGGGCTTGAACTCTCGGTGATCTCCCTGCCTCAGCCTCCTGAATGCTGGGATTACAGGTGAGTGTCACCATGCCCAGCTACAGTTTCATTTGATTTCCGTGACAATCTCATGAAAAGGGGGAGGGCGAAGGGTGAGCAGCTATGAAAATGGGATCCAGAATCACACCAAGTGGGATGTATGATCTCCGTGCAAACTGTGTGCTGCAGCCACACAGGCCAGCTCCTCTCTGAGTGGCCATGTCCTCTTCTGCTGGCTGCTGTGAGGATCCCATTAGCTAATTTTTGGAAGGGCCAAACACTATACCAGATATTTAATAAAAGTTCAATAGATATTAGCTACCACTATTGCTTTCCTGTTACCATTTCACACTCATCATTTTACACCTTCCAACAAAGACTAACAAAGTGACTCTTAAAGGTCTGAGCTGTCAATTTATGGTTAGAAAGTAAAAACTGGTAACCTGCTTCAAAGTGGAAGCAACCTTTAGCAGGCTGCTTCACCTCCTGACAATCATGTGAAACCAACTTCTGAGCAACTAACATAACAGGAAAACTGGGCCAGGGACCAGCAAACTATGGCCAAATCTGGCCCTCTTCCTGTCTTTGTAAATAAAGTTTTATTGAAATACACACACACCTATTTTATCATGTATTGTCTATGACTGCTTACTCCTTAAAACTACAGGTAAGTAGTTGTGACAGAGGCCTGTACAGCTTTGGATATTTATTATCTGGCCCTTTACAGAAGTTCCACCACTGGAAATAATCTGAAAGCGATATTTTGGAAGCAGACAGAGCCTGATGGCTTCACTAAAGACTGAGGAAGTCTTTTCTGAGATTATTTGGGACAGAAATCTAGAGGAAGGCCAGACTTCACCCCGAGTCTCATTTTCATGTGCCTGCACACTTGGGCTTCTATGCTGGGCTCCCATTTCCTGCTACTTCATCTTACACTGTGCATCTCCCTGCTCATACATCAGGTCTCTTTCTTGAGCTCCAGACTCATGTATGTAGTAGTCTATTCTCATTTCTATTCAACGTGCATCAGCACACCACACTCCTGAGGTCCAAAACTGATTTTGTCCTTCACTGACAACAGATCTTCCTTCAAACCATGCTTTAGTAAAGGGCCCTCTACCTGTTACACATACACTTTGGAGTTATCCTCAATTTCTCCTCCCTCATTCTACCGTTACCTCCAGTTACAAAAATCCAGCAACTCCTCCCACACATCAACCAAATTTGGCCCTTCTTTCCATATTTACTTTCCTCTTCCTTATTTAACGCTTGTAGTAGCAATATTCCCAGTATGTCTCAGTCTTGGCCCTTGCTTGCAATCATCTTTCACCCTGGATGCTACAGTGACCGTCATAAGCCACAATGTGCTTAGTTTCCTGTCTCTCTCAGGAAAAGTATCCAAGCACTAGCATGACCTTGGCCTTCCCACTTGTTCACATCTTACGACTCCCCATGTGCAACTGCAGCCAGACTAATCTATTACATGTCAGCAGTTCTGGACTTAACAACATGGTGCCTCCTTATACATTTTCCTGCCTCTCCAAACCATGTAAAGTGCCATCAAATGAACACAATGGAGGTCATCAGCTATCTTTCCAAATCCAGCTAATGCTACCTTCCCCTCATCTCCCTGAAGTTTCCCTCTTCCAAGCACTCACCGTTGGAAAGAACACGAAATGAGTATGTGGCCCATCCTTCTCATCAGTAAAATCCCAGTTTGGTCAGTGGACCAAACCAGGATCATGGTTAAAGTTCTCTAAACACGAGACTTCCCCACCAGCCTTCAGTGAGGTCTAGGCATGGCTCTGCTACTCTTAACTGCATAAACTGGGACAAGTAACTCAGGTGCTCTGTCTACAAAATGACAGCACAGGGTTCATGGCCCTGAGGTGTGCCCTAGTTCTAACACTTTATGACTCAAATCCTCAATGTGACGACCAGGCTAATTCAGACCTTTACAGGTCTCACACCCGGGCCTCAGCTGTGAGCAGTTTAGTGAAGTAATAATATGAGACAGAAGAAGTAAGTTTGGATCCCCATTCCTTGATTAGTTTTGTGACCCTGGGCAGGTCACTTAGTCTTGTCTCACTTCTTTCACTTATGAGAAGAGTATACCCAACTCAAAACCCTGAGCATGGAATGAGAAGATTCATGAAAACACCCAGCAGACTCCTGATTAACTAAACCTGACTCTATCCCTTCCACTAAAAGTCCCCAAGACAGTGGGATGAGGCATCATGAGAATCTACCCATGGGATGCCCTGCTCAAACTCAACTAACTGCTCAGCAGCTCTCCAAGGCCCTTGGGAATCCGGTCCCTCAACCTAGGCCCCACCAAGCAACTGACCACTCAGGACTTCCTTCAGTTCCAGAAACAAATCGCATCTTCAGTGCCCTCTCAGCACCACCCAGCGCGTGGAAGGGAATTCCACTTAATCCTTTATTCCTTCAAAACAAAATCTTGGTTCCTGTTATAAAGGCACATTCCCAGGCTCCCCAGCACAGAGCAGCTGTATGGCAACTTTGCCTCTCAGGTGAGTCTCCTCTGACTTCCCAATCGTCTTCAGAGGAGAAAAGAATGCTGCTCCGGAGTCCCACCCCAAACCTGGACGGTCAAGGACCCAAGATCCTTTCTGTCCTCTGGTCCAAGGATAGCTGAAGTTAGCCCAAAATGCTGACAAGAGTTTGGTTTACCCCACAGCAGAACACAGGTAAGAAAAAAGTTCTATTTTCCTCCTCCCGCAGGGTGCTGGGTTTGGAGCCTGGAGTTTCACTTTGTTTACAACTGTGCGGCTCTGGGCTCTCTAACCCACCTTGGAGTTTGTATCCCACCCGCCTCGGAGCAGGAAGTACTAACGCCTTGCTCGTGCACGTCCGAGTCGTCAGTCTTCGAGTCCATAAGGGACAACCAGCGTGGGGAGACTGAGGCAGGCCGGCTTAAGCCCCTCGGACGTCCCTGCCCGGTTCTCTAGGGCCCGGCGAGGGCGGGGCCGGCCCGACGGCGGCAACTTAGGAGTCCAGTCAGAGGGCGCCCGGTGCCCCCTCTCACCTGGCCGCCGTCCGCCTCCTCGCCCCACTCCGCGGTATTCCCGAAGTAGTCTTCAGCCATGATAGCACCCGGCGCCGGGCCCGCCAGGCTTCGCGAGTCCACGGGGCGCATGCGCGGGGTGGGTCTGGGCGGGAGGACGCACGCGCAACCTCACAGTGCGGGCGGGGTGGGGGAAGGCGGGGGCCTGGCGAGGGGGCGGGGCCGCGGGGCTTCCGCTACGGGACTCAACGGACGTACCGAGGGAACGCCCACGACTGGTCCTGCTCCTCAGGCCGGACGCGCCTCGCTTCGGCTCGGCCAAGCCCAAGGTTCCCACTGGCCCGGACCTTTGGTCCTGCCTTGCAACGGCTTCTGGTACTGCTAATACCTGGGAGTTGGGCAGAGATGTACCGGGGACGGTGTCTAGTGCTCAAGAAAGCGGCGTTAAGTTTCTTTAATTGTGGGCAAAAAGTACTAAATCCAGGGTAAAATAGAATTGTTAATGTCTATTTTAGTGGAGAAGCGGCCCAAAGGCAAAAGGGCCCAGAGCCCACAATAGTCATGATCTGGCCCTGGAAAAGGACCCACCTGAGGTCCCTGCTGAGGGCAACTGAGGCAGTCCTGTGTTTTGTTTTGTTTTGTTGAGGAGGGTGGAGGTGATACTGGTGATTAAACATCTTCAGCCCTCTTTCTTTCTTTTTTTTTTTTTTTTGGTACTGGGGATTGAACTCAGGACCTTGTGCTTGCAAGTCAGGCGCAGTGCCCCTGAGCTAAATCCCCACCTAGCCCGGGTGCCCTTTTTATTTCTTTAAAGTTTTGAGACAGCGTCACATTAAATCACTGGGTTGCTCAGGTTGGACTCGAACTTGCGCTCCTCCTGCCCCAGAGACAGTGCTTTTGTGCCTGAGGCTCGGCTCCAAGCAGGTAGGCCAAAGAGGATGGCTGGAGGATAACCAGGTTGAGTCTCGGTCAAGGAGGTTAACACTGTCAGCTCTGGATGCTTTGAAAGGTAATGCTGCGTCCTTGAGGAAGGAGCGTAAAGAACCAGAACCTCAGAGTACTAGCAATAGCCACCGTCCCCAGGGTGTATCGGCTCTGGGCTCCACAAATGTTCATTGAGTGTCTCCTTAGTGCCTGGTACTCTATTACTCCCTGGAGCTCCATAGTGAATAAATAGGTCCTGGTCCTTACTCTGGAGGAAGCTACAGTGGAGGAACTCCCTTCACTGAGGAGCTGGAAAGGACAGGAAATAATGACAGGAAGTAACAAGTGCTAGTGTTCAGCGGTAACAGGAGACACTTTCTTGGGGTGGTCAGAGGGTGTCTTTTGAGCTATGATGCAGGAGTCAAGCAAGCTAGGACTCAGGAGAAAGCGTTTTCAAAGGGTGGGGATGCCAGGCAGTGGCTTGGCATGCATTCTCAAAACAGAAAGGCCACCGGGGCTGGAGACTGGTAAGGGGAGAAGCAGTTGGGTGAGGTGGGCAGGCAGGTAGGGTCAGTCTAACTAGATCTGTGACCTGTGCCTGTTCGTACCCTTTGTGGTAGTGTACTTGAGATTGAGTCCAGGTACTGTAGCTCTAAGCTACATCCCGAGCCCTTTTTATTTTATTTTTAAAATTTTTATCAGTACATGTTTACAGTACATACTGATTACATTGTGAAGAGCCAGTACACGTACATAAGACATCTTAATTCTTTTCTTACGTCCCCTCCCTTCCCTCCTGGCTACATGTTCTTTCCCATACTCTCTCCTCTTCCATCTCTTTTTTTCCCTATTGTTTATTTTGCTCTATATTTATATACTGGGTTTCTTGTATGAGAAACCATGCCATGTTTAAGGTTGTGTGTCAGATTTATTTCACTTTACATTATGGTCTCAAAGTGCATCCATTTTCCTGTAAATGACTCATTTATCCTTCTTTATGGCAAAATAGTACTCCATTGTGTATAAATACCACATTATCTTTATTCATCTGTTGATGGATATGTAGGCCACTGCTTCCAAGATTTAGCTCTTTTGAATTGTGCTGCTATAAACATGGGTATGTATGTATCACTGTAATACGATGTCTTCAATTCTTTGTAGGAAGATATGTTAGGAGGGAAATAGCTGGATTGAATGGAATTTCTTTTCTTTTTTTTTCAGTTTTTTGTGGACTCTATACTGATTTCCATAATGGTTGACTAGTTCATGTTCCCACCAACAAGGAGATAGTAGAAGGACTCTCCCACCCGGCCTCACCAGCATTTGGTATTATCTGACTTCTTTTTTTTCTTTCCTTTTTTTTTTTTTTTGGTACTGGGGATGGAACTCGGGACTTTGCACTTTCAAGGCAGGCTGCAGAACCACTGAGCTAAATCCCTGGCCCTAGTGTTATCTGATTTTTTTTGGTACCAGGGATTGAACTCTGGTCCTTGTGCTTTCGAGGCAGGCTGCGGAACCACTGAGCTAAATCCCCAGCCATTATCTGATTTCTTGATGATGGCTATTCTTTCTGGAGTAAGAGGGAATCTCGGTATTTTAACTTGCACTCCTCTAATTACCAGAGATGGTGAATATTTTTCATATATTTATTGGGCATTTGTATTTCTTTAAGAAGTGTCTGTTTATTTCAGTTGCCCATTTAGGTTTGATTGAGGGGTCTAATTTTTTTGAATTCTTTATATATTCTAGATATTAGTCCTCTGTCAAAGGAATAGATGGCAAAAATTTCTTTCCATTCCATAGGTTGTCTCTTCCCTCTGTTGATTGTTTCCTTTACTGCGCAGAAGTCTTTTAATTTAATATGATCCCATTTGTTGACACTTGGTATTATTTCTTGTACAACTGGGATTTTGTTCAGAAAGTCCTTGCCTATACCTGTGTCTTCAAGAGTTTTACCTATTTTATCTTCCAGCAAACCAAATGTTTCTATTTTAATATTTAGATCTTTGATCCATTTTGATTTCAATGTAGTACATGGAGAGAGATACAGGTCAAAACTCCATTTCATGCATGTGGAGAGCCAATTTTCCCAGCACTTTGTTAAAGAGGCAATCTTTCCTCTAATGTACATTTTTTGGCCCCTTTGTCAAAGATCAAGTAGCTGAATGTGCTTGGAGTTGTTTCTGCATCCTGCCTTCTGTCCCATTGGTCCACCTCTCTCTCTTTTTCTTTCCCATTCGGTTTTTCTCTCTGTGTCTTTGTAGTAAAACTTCAAGTCTGGAATTGTGAGGCCCCCTGCCTTGCCCTTGTTGCCCAGGATTGTTTTGCTCTTCTGGGTCTCTTCTGGTTCCAGACGAATTTTAGGATTGTTTTCACTTGTTCAGTGAGGAATGCTCTTGATATTTTGATTGGGATTGCATTAAATCTGTATATCAGTTTTGGAAATATGGCCATTTTGACTATATTAGTTCTGCCTTCCGAGAAACAGAGGTTATCTTTCCATTTTCTGATGTCCTTTTTGATCTCCTTTTTTGGAGTAATGCAGTTTTCATTTTAGGGGTCTTTTGCTTGTTTGGTTAGGTTAACTTCTAGATATTTCATTTTTCTTGGTGCTTATGAAAGGTATTGTTTCCCTAATTTCCTTCTTGGTGAGTTTATTATTGGTGTACAGGAACACTATTGATTTTTGTGTGTTGACTTTGTATTCTGCTACATTGCTGAATTTGGTTATCAATTCTAGGAGTCTATTTGTGGAATTTTTTGGGTCTTCTATGTAGAGTGTCATGTCATCTGGAAATAATGATAATTTGACTTCTTTCTTTCCTATCCATATCCCTTTTATTTCTTTCTCTTACCTGCTTGCTCTAATGTTTCAAGAACTATATTGAACAGTAGTGGTTACAGCAGATAGCTTGTCTTGTTCCTGATTTTAGAGGGAAAACTTTCAGCTTTTTCCAGTTTAATATGCTGTTGGCCATTGGTTTGTCCTAAATGGCTTTTATCAGATTGAGATAAGGTCCTTCCTTATCTATTTTCTTCTGGATTTTTATCTTGAATGGATGTTGGAGTTTGTTAAAGGCCTTTTCTGTGTCAGTTGAGACAGTGATTTTTGTCCTTGCTTCTGTTTATGTGATGTATTACATTTATTGATTTGTATATGTTGAACCATCCTTGCATCCCTAGGATGAGTCCTACGTGGTCATGATGTATGATCTTTTTGATAATTTGTTGCATCCTGTTTACCATATCTTGCTGAGGATTTTTGGGTCAGTGTTCATTAAACAGATTGGCCTGTAGTTCTCTTTTTTGGTTGGGTTCTTTTCTGGTTTTGGAATCAGGGTAATACTAGCTTCCAGCACTGACTTTGGGAGTACTCCTTCATTTTTTATTTCATTAAAGAGTTTGAGGAGTATTGGCACTAGATCTTCCGTAAAGTTCTTGAATCCATCAGAAAATGTGCTTTTCTTAGTTGGTAGTTGTTGTTATTACCTTTTCAGTCTCATTACCTAATATTGGATTATTCAGGGTTTTTATGTCTTTTTAGTCCAACTTTGGTACATGATTCATAAGTATCTAGGAATCTATCTATTTCTTCTGAATTCTTCATTTTATAAGAGTACGGATTCTCAGAGTAGTTACTAATAATCTTCTGGATTTCAGCAGAGTCCGTTGTGATTTTGCCTTTTCCATTTCTATCTGCATTGATTTGGGTCTTTGTAAGAATGGCTGAAGGTTTGTGTATTTTGTATATTCTTTCAAAGAACCAGCTCTTCAATTCATTGATTCTTTGTATTGTTTTTAGTTTCAATTCAATTAATTTTTGCTCCGATCTTGATAATTTCCTTCCTGGTACTAGCTTTGGATTTGGATTGCTCTTGTTTTTCGAGGACCTTGAGGTGCATCATTAGGTTATTGATTTGGGCTCACTCTGGGTTTTTTTGTTTTTTGGTTTTTTTGAGACAGGATCTCGCTATGTAGTTCAGGCTGGCCTTGAACTCACTATGTAGCCCAGCCTGCCCTCAAACTCAAGGCAGCCCTCCTGCCTCAGCCTCCCAAGTGCTAGAATTACAAGCATGTGCCACCATGCTCAGCTCACTCTATTTTTCTGATGTGGGCATTTATAGGTATAAATATCCCTCTTAGGACAGCTTTCTTTGGATCCCATAGGTATCCCATAGGTATGTTGTACTGGCATTATCATTTGATTCTAAGAACTGTCTAATTTCTTCCTTGAGTTCCTTTGTGACCCATTGATTATTTGATAGTATTGTTTAATTTCCATTTGCATAATTTCTGGGGTTTCTTTTGGTTTCTAGTTTCTTTGCACTATGATCTAATAGTATGCATAGGATAATTTTGATTCTTTTGCATTTACTTAAGCATGCTTTATGAGCTAGTATGTGGTCTGTTTTGGAGAAAATCCCACGTGCTGCTAAGAATAATTTGTATTTTGGTGTTGTTGGGTAGAACACTGTAGATATCTATTAAGTGCATTTGGTTGAAGTTTTCGTTCAACTTTGATATACCTTTGTTGATTTTTTTGTCTAGTTGATCTGTCTTATTTGTGACAGTGGGTGTTGTGGTCCCCCATTTTAATTGTGTTAGTGTTTATCTGATTTTTTTATGTCTATCAGTGTTTGTTTTATGAAGTTGGATATTCTGGTGTTTAATGCATATATGTTTATATTGTTATCTCTTTCCTTTGAATTGTTCCCAATAGGCAGTGACCTTTGTCTGTTCTGATCAGATTTGGCTTGAAGTCCACTTTGTCTGAAATCAGGATAGCTAGTCCTGCTTTTTTTCTGGGTCCCCTTTGCTTGGAATGTTTTTTTCTATCCTTTGATTTTTAATCTTTGTATTTATTTTTGGATTTAATATGTTTCTTGTATACTGCATATCATTGGGTTTTGTTTCTTGGTCCATTCTGCTAATCTGTGTCTTTTGATTGGGAAATTTAGAACATTCACATTGAGAAGTTATTCAGTTATTACTGAAAGTTATTGACTTACTCCCGTCATTGCATTAGATTGCTTCTGATCACCGCTTTGCCATTTTCTTTCTCCCTTAGTTTTCATTTTTGAGACAGGAGCTCACTAAGTTGCCCAGGCTGGCATCAACCTAGAGATCCTTCTTCCTCGGTCTCCTGAGTTGCTGGTTTTACAGGCGTGCATTGCCATGTTGGGCTGCTTTAACACATTCCTGCCCTAAATCCAAGTCGTCCTTCCTTAATAAAAATCTACTCTCCACCAAGTTAATCTGAAGATTCTAAACAAGACTTTTTAAAAACAACAGTTCAACAATATCTCAGAAGATGAGACCCATAGATAGACTTATTCTAAATCTTTGTGACTTACAGACTAAGTATTAGTTATTATGATGAAAATGAAATGTTTGGGTTTTCTTGTTTGTTGTTTCCTTTGAGAATGAGACAGTACAGACATATCTGGATTTCCTAGGCTGTTTACTGTAGCTAAGGAGGACCCAAAGGAAGTGAGTGAGAAGGTGGGAATGCACATTAAGAGGCCTCAGCTGAGAGCTCACTGCTGAGAAGAGGCGGGCGGGGTGGGGGGGGCTGCTTCTGTGAGACTGGGGCAAAGTCCAGCGGATGTGGCAGACTTGCAGGTGGAGAGCAAGGAGCAGAGGCTGAGTAGATCTGAGTCGTGCACCCCTGTGTGTGGGGACAGTCCACTGCTGAGACAGGGAGCCTGCGGGAGGGCAGATCTCTGCCAGGGACAATAATGAGAGAACAGGTGGGGCATGGAGTGGGAGGCGCCACAGAACCCATGTGGAGCTGTCTTGCAGGAAGTTGGAGGTGGGAGTTTGTGTTCTGGATTCAATGGATTCCTCTTGAGCTTCAATTCACAAGATTAAAGGGTATTAAATTAATGAGTGCCCCTGCTGTTGGCTTGTTTCAGGGTTCATTTTCGTGTGCTTTCTGAAAATGTTGGGAAGAATAGATGGCTGTTAAACTCCTACTACTCCTCATGTTAGATTTTTTTAAAATAGCACCTGAATTGAGAGGAGACAAATCAATACATGTACAACTAATTGCGCCTCCAGAATCAAGGATCATTTAACTTACCTCTTCCTCAACTCAACGGAAAGGTTATTTATTATTAATGGATTAATGAACAACCCATAATGAAAGCATTAAGCCCAGTGGATAAGTCATGATGACTTAGAATAATTGGTACTATAGGTCTTGCCTCCCGAGGTATTGTTGACCTATTGTTTCTGAGAAGTCTTATCTGGAATGTCCAGATTAACTTCAAAGGAGGTAGGGTGGGGTGGAATAAAACTGTGTGCATCATGGCAGCCAGGAAGCAAAGGGAATGGTACAGAGCCGGGGAGAAAGGGGCTGGGACAAGAAGTAGTCCCCAAGGTCAGAACCCCAACTTCCACTAGCTTCAACTAGGCCCCACCTCCTGTTTGCATAGCCTCCTAATAATGCCATCAAATTATCATCCCATTAGTGGTTATTCCACTGATGAAGTTAGAGCCTTACTGTCCAGTCACTTTCCAAAAGCCCATGCACTGATACACATGAGCTTTCGGGGGGATATAGGGCTAATGGCAAAGAAGAAGAAAAGAGAAACTGTCTTTAATAATAAGGAAAGTTCAGGGACCTCAAAGAGGGGTTAAGAAGAGCCTTTCCAGCCAGGCATGGTGGCTCATGCCCGTAATTCCAGCACCGTAGAAAGCCAGGGCACAAGGATGGCAAGATTGAGCCCAGCCCAGGCCATTTAATGCCTTAGCAAGACTGTCTGAAAATAAAAAAGGGGCTGAGGATGTAGCTCGGGGTGAAAGCCCTGAGTCCAGTCCCCAGTAGTGTGCATGCACATGTGCTTGTGTGCGCATGCGTGGACACACACCTCTTTCCAGGGAAATCATGTTTACATGGAGACTTAAGACTTAAACTTGGAGGACAATGAAGAAGGCAAAATGTAGAAAATAAAAGGTCATAGTAAAAGAAAATGACTGCAGTGGAGATATCAAAAGGGAAAAGAGGGAAAGAGTGGAGAAGTATTAGGTAGAAGCCACATGACCTGAAAATTTATAAGGGGGTTGGATTTCATCTCCATGGACATTGTTAGTCTTAGGCTTTTAAACACAAGACTGAGGTGATCAGATATAGGTTGGCTGCTCATTCTGGCTGTCCTGTGGAGAAAGGATCTCAGAGGAGCAAAGTCAAGGTTGGCAGACGAGTAAGGACGATGCGACATCCATGTGAGACTTGATAGTGAGCGATATTAGGGCAGGCATGTGGATAATGCGAACACGTCAGGGAAGGGCTTAGGCGGTCTGGCAGATTGGGGCTTGAAGGGTCTTAGCCAGCGAGTATATTATAAATGCCCAAACCTTTAACTTCCTCTTCTGTCCATGCTCCAGCCTATCACCACCCATCTTCTCTGTCCTTCATACCAGTGCTGCCATGTTTTCCATGTCTAAGGAGTACTTCCGATCTCACAGTTTCTGACACAGACACGACACCACTGACCTTAAAGTATGACCTTCTGGTTTCATCCTACCTCATCAGCTGTCCCTTCTCAGACTGCTCTTTTTGTTGTCCCTCTGCCTCTTTAGATATTGCAGTTCCTAGGGCTTGGATAGTGACCTCTTCTCCATTTCCTTTCTCTTCCTATGGGACCTCGTTGACCCCACATCTTCCGAGCCATTTATATGCTGAGAACTCTCAACTTTGTATCTCTATCTCTGATGTCCAGACTTGAGTATTTAACTGAACTGACTGCCTCTTAACTTCATTGTTATGATTTAAATGGGCATTTGATATCTCCGTGAACACCCTTCACCCCACTGTGCTTGATCTTTCTGTTCTCTTCCTTCTTAGATGGTCATGAGACCATCAGCACCACAGTTACCAATGGCAGACACCTGGAAATCATCCTTAGCTTCTGTTCCCCTCCACTTGTATTCTATCCAAAGGCACATCTGATAAACTTGGAAAGTATTTCAAATCTATCCAATTGTCTCCATCTTTACTGCCAGCATCTTAGCCCAGGTTCCTATCAGCTCGCACCTGGGCAGCTGAAATAGTTCAAACTGGTCTGCCTCATTACCCTAATTCTGTGACTGTCCATTCTCCAGAGAGTACCACTGTGGTTTACAAAGTACATTGGGACCTCAAGTTAGTACCAGCATGACATATGAACAACTTGGGTTAATTAGGTTAATGGAAGATTCATCTGCCTCTTGTTATCTATAGTGTGTACCCAGGTAAACATCCAGATCTCAGACCTACCACCAACTTGAGTTACAACCAGCCCTCGGGAACTGATCAAGTTCTTAAGTCAAAGGTCCACTGTATATCCAGGAGGGTTTTTTTTCCTCCTCTCTTAAAGAGATGGTGCTTCATTTCCCTTCCCTTGAATGTGAGTTCCTGAACTTGCAGTTCACTTCTTATGAGTGAAATAAAGCAGAAGCCTTGGAAGACTATACTGACTGGGTCATAAAAAAAGACATCTTGTCTTGGCCATTCTGTGTTTTGGGTCACTTATGTTGGCCATATTGTCTTTTGGATCACTCACTTTGTAGGAGGAAAGATGCCAAGTTCCGAGCACCCCTATGGAGAAACTGCTTCCTATGGTAGCTAAATAAATAAGCAGAGATGGAGTCTCCACCTTCATCCCACTCCCAGCTGACCTCTTGATTGCAACTTCATGAGAGGTCCTGAATGAGAACCATCCAGGTAAGCTGATTCAAAATTTCTGGCCACCAGAAGAAACTATAACATAACGTGTTCTTTTAAGCATACAGATTTGGGGTGATTTCATATGAATATTTAATATTAATATTATTTACATGAGTATCCAAAATATTCATTTAAAATAGAAGATCATGGCCCTCCTTTGCTTGTTATGTCTCAGTGGCTTCCTGTTTCACCTGGAAAAAAAATCATTTTCTTTTGTTTGACATGATGACAGATTGAAGCCAACATATTCTGCCCCCCAAAAGCAGCGGTAATGGCTGGATAAAACTGACAAAAATAGCTGTTTCAGGCTCAGGAAACAGAACAAAGGTATCACACAAACTGAGAAACATTTATTAGTCAAGATTACTAAACTTTAAGAACAGCATGAATCTATGACATTTTTGCCTGTGTATGCTCCTATTTTTGAAGTTGAAAAGGGAAATGTGATTAATAAATGACTTCTCATGCGAAACAGTGGAGCCCAAAGGCAGGGGAGTGACATATTTAGCATGCTGTGAGAAAGTAAACTGTTGACCAAAAACTGTATGTCTGACAAACATAAAAATTGAAGTGAAGTTAATAGTTTCAGATAAACAGACTAAGAGAATTTGTTGCTCCCAGACTTGCTTTACAAAAAATACTAAAGGAAATTCTTCAAGCTGAAAGTAACACTACACAGTAACTTCAGTTCTCAAGAAGAAATTGAATAGCAGAAATGATAAATATAAGACTCACTGTAAATAGACTATTTTTTCTGTTGCTTTTAAATATATAAATGTATAAGCAGTAATGATAACATTGTATTGTGTTTATAGTAGCGAAAGGGTTAGGAAAAATGAGATATATTGAAGTAAGAATTCTATTTTTTACTGAAATTAAGTTAGTGTTATTCTGAAACAGATTTGCTAAATTAAGACATGTTATAATCTCTAGAGCAATTGCCAATGAAAAATCTCAAAAGATAGTAAAAAACTTGACAGATAAATCAAAGCAGTTCTTGAAAACACATGTAACATAAAATAAAGCAATAAAGTAGAACAAGAAAAGATATGAGACAAATTGAGAACAAATAGCAAAGTGGCAATATAAATCCAACCATATCAGAAACTTTATTCAATGAAAATAGACTACATAGCTGAAAAGAGAGATAGACTGAAAGAAAAACAAAACTCAACAATCTGCTGTCTATAGTGAGCACACTATAGATTCAAAGACACAAATAAATTGAAAGCAAAATGATGGAGAAAAGATATACATGTAAACAACCATAAAAGAGTTAGGGTTTCTATATCAACACTAGGCAAAACAGAGTTTAAGACTTTAGAGACAAATAATAATGATAAATGAGTCATACATAAAGTAGATATAATTATGAGTATATATATATATCTGTTAATCTCTATTGATTAACTCAAAGTATGTGAATCAAAAATTTTATTAAATTGAAAAGAATATGGGTAATTCAACAATAACACTTAAATATTTCAATTTACTCACTCTTAATAATTGATACGCACCTGGACAACAAAATTTAGCAGTGGTAAGACAGTGAAATGATGCAACCTCTATGGCAGTTGCTCCTGAAATTAAAAACAGAACTACCATATGATTCAGCTATCCCATTTGTAGGAATATATCCAAAAGAATTTGGAGTGAGGTCTTCATGTCCATAACATTCACAATACCCAAGAGGTGGAAACAACCCAAATGTTTTATCAACTGAGGAATTGATATATAAAACATAGTATATACATGCAGTGGAATATTATTCAGCCTTAGAAAGAGAGGAATTTTTGGTGCCTGCTACATGAATAGGAACCTTGAGAACATTATGCTAAATGAAATAAGCCAGTCCTGAAGACAAATACTGTATAATTCTACATAAATAGGGAATAATTTTTGAATTGAATTAATGGAAAGACAAAGTAGAATGGTGGTTACCAATGACTTGGAAAGCAGAAGAGAGGCAACTTGTTGTTTAAAGGCATAGAGTTTCAGTTTTGCAAAATGGGAAAGTTCAGGAGATCTAGATCACAACAATGTGAAAATGCTTAATGATGCCAAAAACTTCAGAATGATACATATGATAAATTTTATTTCATGTGCTTTTTACCACATTCAAAAAATTGATAAAGGCTTGAACAACATTATCAACCAACTGGATTGGACATTTGTAGAAAACTGTACTCAAAAAACAAAAATATGTGAATATATTCTTTTCAAAAGCACATAGGGTAGATTATAAGAGGAACCACAAAGCAAGACTCAACTTTGAAGGATGAAATCATATAAAATATGTTCTCTGATCATATCTGAATTAAAATGGAGATCCACAACAGAAACAAACGTCAGAAAACCCCCAAATTATAAATTAAACAACATATTTCTAAGTAATCTATGAATCAAGGAACAAATGACAAGAGAAGCTAAAAATATTGTAAACAAAATTAAAGCAAAAGTACAACATAAGAAAATATGTGGGACATAGCTACAGCAATGCATGGAGGGGGAGCTACAGCTGTAGATGCCTATGTTTGTGACAGAAGAAAGGTCTCAAATCAAAAACCGAGTCTCCCACTTCAAGAAAATTGAAAAAGAACAAAGAAAACTAAGTCCACCAACATATAAAGGATCAAAGGCCATGACAAACTGGAATTTGTCCCAGGAATGCAAGGTTGGTTTAACATCCAAAAGTAAATCAATGTATTAGTGAAATACAGGACACACCTTTGTATATAGTTCTTTCAGTGGCACTTTCCATGCTTATGAAGACTCTAAAAAAGGTGAAATTAGTGAAAGAAAGTTGAATCCTTGGAGTATGGACTGGACTTGGCCACTCAATTCTGTTAAACGGAATAAAGCAGAAATCATGATGTGTGACTTTGGAGGTGAGGTTGTGAAAGGCACTGTGGCTTCTCTTCTTGCTGTCTTAGGCCACTTGCTTTGGGGAGAGCCAATGACCCATGAAGAAGCCCACATGGAAAGCAACTGCAGCCTCCTGCCAGTAGCTTTGTAAGTGGGCTATCTTGCAAGTAGATCCTCCAGCCCTGGTTAAGCTTTCAGGTGATGGAAATATAGTTGCAAATGTCTGTATTCCTATGTTCCTTTCTAGTTGGACTGTTCCTGTCATTTGAAGATTGTGAAAAGATGAGATTAGTACAGACAAAGCCCTCAGTGGTGACCTCTATAATCCTTCACGCTTTGCATGCACATTAAGGGCAAGCAAAATGCAGATCAAGGATGGAGCTGAAAGTAGGGAGTTCTGTGAAACTGTTGTGGGCAAGATGAAACTTTCAGGGTGACCCAAAAGGAGGAACATTGCCCAGGGTTGGGAACTGCTGGTCTTGTACTACAGAGCTTCCCTATCCCTGGCCCATGAGTGGGTAATGGGCCACACATTATTGTCATTGTCACACGTCATGATGCAGAGAAGTTGGGGTCATGCTTCACTGTACTGGTCTTTCCTGCCCCACCTCACTAGAATCTGCCCTGAGTGCTTGGAGCAGTCTACCAACAGACCCTTCCAAGGCCTTCTTCATTTCTCTCACTGTTTCTCATCTCTCGCTTATCTTGGTGATATTACTAAGTTGCTGTATCAACCTTCTCTAAGTCCATTCTGGAGATTCTCACTTTCAAATTTGTTTTCATTTTGCAGTGCCAGGGATTGCATCCAGGGCCTCAGCCATGGCAGGCAAGTAAGTGGTCTGCCACTGAGCTACACTCCTAGCTAGTACTAGTAATCCCACATTCATAATTATTTTGATATAAATTTCTTTTATAAATATCTTTATCTTAAAATATGTCAAATAACTTTTAAAACACTAACCATGGTACATTATAAATGACATAACTATAATATATATCAATCATGATATATCTAAAATAATAATTTCTTAATATCATCGAATATCTAATCAGCATTTCACTTCCCTCATTTTCTTCAATATTTATCTCTTCGTCGTTCTCAAGACTGATAATTTCTGTCAATCTTTCTTCTGTCATCTCAAATATATGACTGTGCCTTTCTGGTAAAATTTTGATTTCAGTTGTGCTTTAGAGGTCTAGAATGCCCCCCAAATAGTTCCTGTTTCTCTGTTGTGATTCCATATCTGTTTATCCATTTATGTCATTTTTCCTTTAATTCTTTGAACATCTTTCTAATGTCTTTTGAAAGCCTTTTTTCTGCTAAATCCAACATCTGGTTTTAATCATATTCAGTTTTTGCTGACTGTCTTGTTTTTTGTTTTGTTTCTGATGGAAGGTCGGGGGCATATCTGATGACAAAATATTGAACATTATAAATAATACAGTATGGACTCTGAATTTTGTCGTGTTTTTCTGAGGACCCTTGCCTTGTTGTTGTTCTAATAGGCAATTAAGTTGCCTGGATTCTGTCTGGGAAGTTTTCCTCCCATGTGATATCCAGCACCTGTCACCTGTGTTCTGTTCCTAACATTTCTCACTGCTGCTTTTTTAGCTTGGTCCCTGGGGGTCTTCCTGAGGTGTCTCAATGGGGTCTTCAGCAATGCATCTTTCTGCCGCTTCTTGATTCTGCAGGTTTACACCTAATTTCCGGCTACTCTTCAAGCTTCAGAGTCTGTGCATGGTATTTCATTCCTGTGTGGCTTAGGGTTTTGTCTCCCAGCATGTGCATGGTTGTGCAATGCACTTAAAAGGAAAAAAGACAAAAAGCAAACTCACAGGCCTCACCTTCTGCAACTCTGTGAAGAGCAGGTCTTTCTTTGGCCTCTGCTTCCTGTTCCACCAGGACCTTGAGGTTTCCCCTCCACATGTGTGGGTTGTCAGCCAGGGAATTGGGAAGAGTATATTCAGAATTCAGGTCTTTCTCCTTCGGTAATTCTTTCACTCACAGAATTTCCTGTTAAAACTTCCATCTACTTTTCCTTGTCTGATACTAACTCTGACTGAAAACACCTTGAATTGGTAAAACTGGTTTCATTGCAGATTTCTGTAGCTGGTAGCTGTGAAATTGAGAA